TGACCTATTTGAATTCATATTTCAATTAATAATAAATATTATTTTATCTATACATAAATAATAAAAGCTTTAAAAATTAAAAAGTCCAAACTTCGGTAGTGGCATCTGATGTGATGCTCCTCCTTATCGGCGGAAGTGGCGTCTCCAGGGAGGCACCGATAGATTTAGGCAGCGGGTATGTAGCTGCAATAGATTTAGGGTTTTCCTACTTTGCAAGTTTTAAGTAATATATATATATATATATATATATATATATATATATATATATATATATATATATATATATATATATATATAATATTTATCTATTTATTTAATTATGGCTCGCAAACGGCTCGATGAGCCACGAGCTTAGAATATTTGAGCTCGAGTTCGGCTCTAACTCGATTTTGACCGAACTCGAGCCGAGCTTTGACCGAGAGGCTCGCGAACCACTCGGCTCATTTACACCCCTAGTTTAGATTAATAACAGCAGGGCCGGTTTTTAGATTTTTGTGGCCCCATTCGGGTAAATAAATGAGGGCCCTACAAAAATCACAATCTTTAAAATCACCGTATTTTTTTTTTCTAATAATAAGGTTGTAAAATGTTGTGCGCAAAGAAAAAAACAAAAAATATATTATGGAATAATAATAATAATAATAATAATAATAATTATAATAATTATAATAGTGTGAGAAAACTTGCAACGCAAAATGATTAAAAAAAGGGAAGAAAAAAAACATATTATGAAATAAATTACAATTATAACAACAATAATAATAGTGTGTTAGTGTGTGCAACTCGCAATGCAAAATAATTAAAAAAAAAAAGAGAATTGTTCAGAGTTGGAGCAACACTCAAGTTTTGAACCTCTAACCTCAAAGTTGAAATTAAAATAATAATACAATAAACACATATTTCTACCATTCTTCCATGTAACCTTTTAAATTTAATTGAAAACTTTTAATTTTTATTTCTAAACTAGTTAGATAAAAATTAAATATTAGACTCTCTCAAATTTGGGGTCTCTGTACAATAACCCAGCTTGCATAACTTAAAATTCGGCCCTAAATAACAGCTGGTGGGATAACCTCGATATGCTCGAAATTTCCCTTTCTGGTAGTTAGCTTTTCTAGTCCATCATTCTATATCTCAACCTATAAAAGAATAATTAATGACCCTTATCTAATTTTTTTTAACACAGTTTCTAATTTTTTTCAAATTATATTTTAAATTTCATGCCTATGAAGAGGTATCGAGTCAATCAACTTTTACCGTACCTTTAAAAGCAAGTTTTAATGAGATTTTTCATTGATTAAACTAATGCCTACCAACGGGATTCACTATCAGAAATTATGAAATATCCGACCATCTGAAAGTGATTTTAAATCAAGTCAAAAGTCTTGTTCTAATTACTTTTGGTATCCAGAAAAATCTTTGTTGCTATTTTTGATTACTTTTTGCTTCGACTTGATTTATGATCACTTTCAGGTGGTCAGAAATTCCATAATTTCCAACGGTGATTGTAAATTGATAAATTATAATGACTCAATTAATCAACAAATCATGATAGACTTTTATTCACTGTACACAATGAATCCTCTCATTTGAGAGATTGTTCACACACTATCACGGATAAAACTCGATCATTAATTTCTTTAAATAAATTTCATCTCATCAATTGAGCTGCACATCCGGATAGGACACCTTATCTAATTCTTGTCATTGGGTTACGTTGGAACATTATCAACATTCAAGCCCTTCTTTTAGTAACATGGTAGGGACTTAGGGTGTTAGCCTATTAAGTTATGTAAAAAAGAAGAAGAATATTACTTAACTAAATAAATAATAATAACTTAAAAGTGATTCATATATATATATATATATATATATATATATATATATATATATATATATATATTTCATTTTTGATCTTAAATTTAATAAGTGGCAGTCCACTTTTAGTCCTTTTTTGTCAGAATATTTCATTTGGTCCTAGTTTTATTATGACATGATCATTTTTAGTCCCCCATCAACAAAAGTATTGAAATACCGTTAAATACAAGGACATTTCGAGTTTTTAATACAAAGTATGTTGACCTTTTTTTTTTTAAAAAAAAATCATAATTGAAGATCGAAATGTCCTTGTATTTAACAATATTTAAACTGTTTTGTTGATAAACGATAACAAATAGTTATATCCACAATAATACTAGGACCAAAGGAGGATGTTTTTAATTAAAAAATGATTAAAAGTGGACTGTCACTAATAAATTCAGGACAAAAAATGAAATTAATTTAACTCATTATAATAATAAATGTCATGACGGGAGGTGACAATGTGGGTGTTCAAATCCCAGTGAAATCATGTATGGAAAAAATGTCACAAGGATGTTGGAAGGTTTGGAATGGATTATCCTTTGTGCGCACATGAAAAATAGGATCTAACTTGTGGACTGATTACACGACTCGCGGTTTACATTGTTAGAGATCACTCTAGGGGCTAGCCCTGTAGACTTAAGATTAGTCCGATAAAACTGGGATCAAATAATAATAATAGTAATAATAGTAATAATAATAATAATAATAATAATAATAATAATAATAATAATAATAATAATAATAATAATATTTTCATAAAAGTAAATATTTTAAGAATGCATAACTATGACATGTGGCAATATATAGTAGTTTTAGAGGGAAACACCTTCACTAGATAGTACTCAAACATAACTTTTGCAACACAAAACCCTATTAATTGGCATGATCCATGCTTCCTCTTGTTGTCACTTCCGCTAGAGATGAATTCTTGATTTAATCTAGTCCCCTTGTGTGCTTCATTCACTACAATTTTAGTGCCTTGGCGCAGCGCACCTTCAAAAACAGAACCAAATCCTCCTTTTCAAAAAAGACAATGATAATAGGCATAGTTTATCACACTACTACAAAATTGAATATATAAGTATAACTTTACACTATACATCTTAATAGAGGTGTAGTGGATAGTTGAAATAAATAAGAATACTACACCTTTATTTAAAAGATGTAGTGGAAAGTAATTTCATTAAAAAAAAAACTGAATAATGTTTACACTAACAGAACGTATCTGTATTTAAGAAAAGTAAATGATAAAATAGAAGGGGTCAAAGTACCTACGAGGTCCCTGTACTATAGCGTTTTGTTCAATTTAGTCCTTACAACTTTATTTTGTTCAATTTAGTCCCTCTACTTTCAAAAGTGGTGCAATTAAGGACAATAGTTAACAGTGTTAATATTACTGTTAAGTGTTAACTTAGGTTACGTGGCGCTGGTGAAATTTATATTCCCACTCATATATTACTTTATAAATATTTAAAATTAATTATTTTTACCACCGATATATTAAATTAGTATGTTCAAAATAAATAATTACAACCATGTTCCTAATAAGATTAGGACAATTGTCCTTAGTTTCACATTTTTAAAAAGTAGAGAGACTAAATTGAATAGAATAATGGTACAAGGACTAAATTGAATAGAATAATGGTACAAGGACTAAAATGAACAAAACACTATAATACAGATACTTCATACGTACTTTGACTAATAGAAGGTAAAATAAAAAAAATAATAAAAAAATACTAAAATCAAAATAATATTAACAATTCATTTTAACAAACAATTACATTAACATTTTTTAGTTTCCGTTAAGAGTATAACTTTATTGGTTCTTATTAAGTTTGTAGATGTAGATAAATTATGCAACATAATTTAAAAATATGATACTAACTAAACATGTTAATATTACATTCCCACAATTCCAACTAAACACATCAAATATTACATTTTTGTAATATGATATTATCTATCTAACAGAAAATTTTATTATACAAGATCATCTTATATTTGGTGAATTAAAACTTGAAATAATTTTAGAAGGAACATTATTTAACGAGAATTTTGGTACGTTAAAGTTTTGCAAAATTAATGAACTTTTCAGTGTGTTTGATGACACTAAATAAGTTAGGTTAGTCGAAAACACTGTTGTATAGTAGAAGCCCCTGCCATTTCTCCCCCGCATATTTAGGGATATTGTCCACCCACTGGGTCCAGCAGCTGCGCTATACTTGTAAGTTAATCACTCCTATAACCTCAATTACCACCTCCTAACTAATCATTTCTTCAAATTAACATCTAATCCTCATCAACACCCTTAAACATCTGTTTAGCACTTAACTTAAAGACACCTACCCACGACACAAAAGCAGCCTTTGATTGACAAAGGTCAATGGTGTCATAGGGAACAGGAGAGCCCGCCCTAAAAGCCTAGGAATCATTTCTGATCACTAGCCCACTTAAAAGGTTAGCTAACATGGGGCCTACACGGATAGTTTAGTTGATTCTTAAATATTAGATAGTAATCAAGAACAGAGAATAAAGTTAATTGGTCGCTAAGTCATCTTGATGTTTATATTCAACCTAATGAAGCACACAGACCTTTGCTAAGTCACCTTGATGTCTATATTCAACCTAATAAAGCACACAGACCTCCACTGAGGCTCGATCTTATGACCTCCCATATAGAAGAGGTCATTACTTGCCATCTGAGCACTTGACAAATACATCTTTATTATGTCATCTGAGCACCTTATGCCATCTGAGCACAAAGTGCTTTAGTAAAAAGTGAGGACTGATCTTAGCTTAGTCGTCCATAAGGATTATTAATGAAGCGGGTTCTGAAACTTGAAATTTTAGTAATGATAAGATTCTAGCCTTTGATTTTATTGGAGGGCGTGGATATGTCCACACTTTTTACGGGAAGGAGGAGATGTTTTCACCTAACCTTCCTCATATATATATATATATATATATATATATATATATATATATATATATATATATTAAGTATATTAATTTTATGTTGTAGAATTTGTATTACAAAAAAATGAAAAAGAAAGAGAGAAGAGGAGGAATGTATAGATACTGGAATGAAGAAAGAAAAATACAAAAAGATGAGATTATTCTATAAATTCCATGGATGGATACTTGTTGCTCAATCACATCATCTTATATAAAATGGCTTAGCTCTCTTCATATATACTGTATGAGGGCTTTCTAGCTGAAAATTATATTGGATCGAGGCCGGACAGATCTCCAAAGATGAATAGAGGAGGAAGCTATGGCGGCGGTCAGAGTTCACTGGGCTATCTCTTCGGCGGCGCGCCGGCGGATGACGACAAGCACAACAAGAGAAATGAGACGCCTCCGCCTTCTCCAATCTGTGCACCACCCTACGGGATTGATTCCGACGTTGACAACACCACCGTCAGTAAGCCGCCGCCGCCGCCAAACTCCCCCGGCAATACCTTCGAAAGAACCCTATCTCAGAATTCTGGAAACTTCGCCATCGCTGTAAGTCATCATATCAACAATAATATATTTACTTCAATTCTCTCTCTATATATATTACCGTTTTTTACTTTTTTTGGGGAAAAATAGAGTCGGCCGTCGACGAAGGTGAAATCGGCGCCGGGAGGAGATTCATCTCTGGGCTACTTGTTTGGAGACAAGATCTAATTAACATAGTACCTGGGTGGAACAAGTGTTTAAGGAAGGATGGATCGGATCTAGGGTTTGAAGTTTCTTAAATTTGATTGTTGGGTGTGAATAAGGATTTATTCTGCAGCAAGTCTGTAGTGTTGAAACATTATCTGTGTTATGAAATTGTGGATTTCGATGGTATGAACATCGTCATCGTCATAATCGTGTGTTGTGTGTTGTGGGATCCTGTGAAGTCATTAGGGTTTACTGTGTGGGATTGTTGTTGTTGACTTGTTGGTGTGTTAAGGAGAAGCTTAAGTATGTAATTAGGGTTTACTGTGTGGGATTGTTGTTGTTGACTTGTTGGTGTGTTAAGGAGAAGCTTAAGTATGTAATTAGGGTTTATTGTGCTTATGTATGTATAATTAGATTTATTCCTGTGTATGACCATCCACAGACATTATATGTACTAAAGATCATGGCTTTTGTTCTTTAATTTGTTTATTATATTTTATATATATGCCAACTGAGTTGTTTAAGTGATAAATCAAAATTATATAACCAAATGGCTTGTGGTCCATTGGTATTGAGTTGCTCCCTTAAGTAGAAAGTGATAGGTTCAAACTTCAATTAAGGTAGGTATATATGCTCTATCTCCAATTTTTTTAGGTGACGAAGGAAACAGAAAGTTAATATCTTCGTAAATCCTTATTGTATATATACTTGCTTATATGTGATTCAATTCAAGTTTTTGCAGTAAATTTTCTTTTAAATAGTATATATTTCAAACAATCTGACATTCAAAAATAATGAAGTAAATACGCTCATATTAAGGTTGACCCCAATCCTAAGGGCCCGACAAAACATTTGGGAGGATGTAAATCATGGTAACTCAGCTGAATATGAATCACAGAGGCCGGCTAGACCTCACTCGCACAAGGAGCCCCCCTCACTTTGAAAGGTTGCTCCCACACTGCCACCGGTGAGACTCGATCCCTGGTCATTCTTTTCAACTTTCACCTCTATGACCAGTTGAGTTGCCCATGCCGGCAATACACTCATATTCATTCTTCCAAAAGGCTGAACCCCAACCCTAAGGCCCCCCCACAACCCGACCCGACAAAACATTTGGGAGAATGTAAATCATGGTAACTCAACGGAACATGAACCACAGAGGAAACTTGTGGGGCATTATATCAACTAAAAATAAATTAAGCTTTTGGGGCATTATATCAATTATCCACAAAGTACTAAATGGATTTCAACATTTTTTTATGATAAGGAAACTTGTAATTAGTATTAGAAGGTGTACACTGGATATGGAGCATTATTGGGTAAACCATGGTTCACACATTTGTGTATACTATAAATAAAAAGTAAATTATTTTTATACATAAAGTATATTATTTGAAAGTACACATTATTTGATACTGTAATGAAAGTATATTATTTGAGTATTGAAAGTAAATTCTTTTATATAATTTACATTGTACACAATTAATGTACTTTTAGTGTGTGTGTGTATGTGTGTGTGTGTATATATATATATATATATATATATATATATATATATATATATATATATATATATATTAAAAATGTATTTTTATATAGTTCACACAGCATTATGTGGACCATGGTCCACATAATAATTTGTCCATTGGGTATTGGGCCGGGTAAGCCTTGCTATTGCGTAATAGCCCGTAAATTATACAAAAGAGATTAATTGTACTATCATAGTAGTAAGATTATATATGTGCGATGGACTCCAACATTTTTACAATTATAAGTTTATATAAACCATGTTAATTGGGTCTGCATATTATCTCTATGCAAGCTATTTCTACAAGTACAAATTATGCAAATAATGTTATATATGTTGGAAATTTTTAGCATAAAATGACATAGAAAATGACTATTTTGTGGTACAAATATGTGGGGTTCACTTTTGATTTGAACGGGTCAAAATGGATTCGTGTTCTTCGTAATAAGACAAAGAAATTAATATATTGTACGCTCAAAACAGATATTGGGTGAATGAGAAATTAATTCTCAAAATAGATCCATTTAAGTTAGAAAATGAAAGTGAAAATGCTCTGGAAAAGCACTAGTTCCACATTGGTTTGGGAAGTAGGGTTTCCACCACTATACATATACAAGAGCCCTTTAGAGGCAGGTTGAATTGTATTGCATAAAAGCACTCTCTACGTTCAAGGTGCAAATCAAAGTCGACACATGTGTGCACGAGTGTCGTCTGGAAAATGAATAACCTTCAGGCAAATAATAATCAACCTATTAAAAAAAGAAGAATCTAGCAGCACATGCAATTCTTAATAGTACTCCTAATAATGCAAGTAACAGTGGGGGTTTGCGTTAATTGAATGATAAGATTTAGGTGGTTCACATTGTTCAACTCATTGCTTGGTGTTTGTTTAGAAAGGGAGAAGCATGATATGATGTGCCCTACAATTGAGTACAACATATTATTCCCCTTTTTGACGATTTTTAGGAGCCTTTGTCTGGTTGGTTGCATTTGGATTAAATATAATATATTATCATGGGAAAAGTACATTCCTATTTATGAATCGTAAGACAATGTATATATATAGATGTTTACATTTTTCAACCATCACACAACATAAATGCATGATAGATTCGATTATATATTTTAGTGGAACGTAACCATTCTAATTTTTAATTATTACTATTAATTAATGGAACGTGATTTTTTTTTTTTCTTTCGCCTCATCATGTACCGGCTATCAGTGCATATCTATACGGAAAAATGACTTTGGGTCTTTTATCAGAGTATACTCCAACCAAGTTGGTCGAATAATTAATTTGATAATTAATTACAAAGTTCAAGTTCATCGCCAGGAAGTTACATATTGATTTTCTTGGTTTGAGCCGATCAACTAGTGGATGAGAAGTTTCACTTAAGACTTAATTTCGATGGTGGCAAGATGGGGGTTCAATTCCTGCCATGAGCATTAGATATTTCGGTTTGAGTTGAACTCCTTGTGCATAGAAGTATATAATTTGGTATTGAGTTTTGAAACTAAATTGTTTAGATTTACCTACAGTTGTTATACAGTGGGCCATGGTCCACACATCGTTGTATGGACCATGATCGTCGAATGAAACTGTAGTAGAATTAAAATGATACTTTAATTTAGTGTTATTATTATGAAACTAGTGTGTGGGGAAAATGAAACTAAAAACAGAACACATTATTGTCAAATGATACTTTAATATTGCTATAGTGAAACTAGTGTGTATGGAAAATGAAACTAAAATTCAAAGTCATACAATAACATATATTGTCAAATGACCTAAAGTGCAATTAAAATAATACTTCAACATTACTATAATTAAACTAGTGTATGTGTGTGAAAAATGAAACAAAAGAATAGAGCTCAGACAATAATGTATAATTGTATATTATCAAATAAAATTATAGTAGAATTAAAATGATACTTTAGTATGACTATAATGAAACTAGTGTGGAGGGAAAATGAAACTAAAAAATATAGCAATATTGTCAGACTAAACAAAGTGTAATTAGGAAACCGTAATCATCAAAGAAAACCGTAGTATAATTAAAATGATATTTTAGTACCATTCTCTCCCGTCTAGGGTTTATCTTTATTCTCTCTCCCTTCTAGGGTTTATCTTTTCCGACGGGGCGTAAGGTTTTGACGACAGCAACGACTTTCGCTTCTGATTACCATGGCAACGACAACTACACAGCAAGGCGATGATGGTGTGGAGAGGTTGTCCGACCGCTGGGCGGACATCACGCTAGAGGACGAGGAGGTTGGCGTGGAGGCGGACGGTCCTTTCATGCCACTGGAGGGTGAGGACTTACCGATCTTCTCTGTGGTAGGGCGCTTTCTGACGGCAAAGATGATCAAAGTTGAGTATATGCGGCAGGTAATGACATCTGTATGGCAGCCTGTGATGGGGATGCGAGTAACAGAGATGCACTCTAATTTGTTCCTTTTTGCGTTCTATCATGAGACTGATATGATAAGAGTATTGGAGGATGGACGGTGGTCGTTTGACAATCATACACTCATATGCCGCCAAGTTTGTGATGGTTTTCTTCCAGGGGAAGTCAAGCTAGATACCCTTGATATGTGGATCCAGGTATATGATCTGCCTATGGGTTATACGTCTAACCAAATTCTGGAACAGGTTGGAAATTTTGTTGGAAAGTTTATCAGGTGTGATGATCGCAAGGTGGGGGAGCCGTGGAAAAAGTTTTATCGTGTACATGTGGCGGTCCCGGTTGACAAGCCGCTCAAACGGCGGATGAAACTGGTTCGCAGGGATAAGTCATGGTGTTGGGTTAATCTGAAGTATGAACGGCTCCATAATTTTTGTTATTGTTGTGGTATGCTGGGTCACCTGGAGAAATTCTGTAGAACGGCTCGGTTATCGGGGATTAAGCCTGAGCTTTACCCGTATGGCGCATGGATGAGGGCAGGGCAGTCCAAGGGCCCGAGGCCGGTTGGGGCATCATGGTTGTTATCGCCCGAGGGGAACCCGATAGCATCTAACGTGGGCCAGTCCGGTGGAGGTGGTGCGCCGGTGCTGTCTGGCCGTGGGGTTGTCGGGGTGGATGATGTTGTTATGGCTCGGTTGTTGGATGGATCGGAAGAGGGTGTGCTAGCCTCTTCGAAACGACGACGTGCTGCCGAGGAGGGGCCTAGTAATGGAGTGGTATCGGGTAATGGTGACGCAACGGTTAATGATGTGTCAAAAAACTTGTTTGTGGCGGGTCTTGGTTCCCAGACCCGCCAAGTCCAATGAGTACCTTAAGTTGGAACTGTCGTGGTTTGGGCGACCCACGTACAGTTCGTGAAATAGTGGACACGGCGTCCCGCAACAGGCCTGATTTTATTTACCTCATGGAAACGAAGGTAGATCGAAGTCATGCAGAGCGTATTCGTGTTACACTAGGGTTTGATGGCTTATTCTATGTTGATCCTGTTGGTCTGAGTGGTGGTTTGGCTTTGTTATGGAGGAAGAATAACACGGAAAGACTTATGAGATATTCAACAAATCATATTGATGTGGAAGTTAGTTTGACGGGCTTCCCTAGGTGGAGGATGACATGTTATTATGGTTATCCACAACGGCATAGACGCACCGAAGCGTGGGATTTCATTAAATCACTGGCACCCCAGTCTGATCTACCGTGGATCATGATTGGGGATTTTAATGATCTATTATTCCACTATGAGAAGAGAGGTGGGAACCCACACCCGGATGGGCTACTGCGGGGTTTTGGGGAGGCTATTGAGTATTGCAGCTTATCTCAATTGTCGATGAATGGATAATAGTTTATATGGGAGAAGGGGAAGAGCACATCTCGATGGATTGAGGAAAAGTTAGATAAGGTGTTAGCTACAGATGCGTGGCGTGATATTGTCACCAGAGCAAGGGTGAATAATATCCTTCTGAGAAGATCTGATCATTCTGCCCTC